ATAGTCTAGTCTATAGTCTAGTCTATAGTCTAGTCTATAGTCTAGTCTATAGTCTAGTCTATAGTCTAGTCTATAGTCTAGTCTATAGTCTAGTCTATAGTCTAGTCTATAGTCTAGTCTATAGTCTAGTCTATAGTCTAGTCTATAGTCTAGTCTATAGTCTAGTCTATAGTCTAGTCTATAGTCTAGTCTATAGTCTAGCTATAGTCTAGTCTATAGTCTAGTCTATAGTCTAGTCTATAGTCTAGTCTATAGTCTAGTCTATAGTCTAGTCTATAGTCTAGTCTATAGTCTAGTCTATAGTCTAGTCTATAGTCTAGTCCAGGGGTCGGCAAACTTTTGAGTCGGAAGAGCCAAAATTTACAGTTTACAAAACATATGTTTTAAAAGAGCCACAAAATTTTTGTTTATTAAAACTTTAAAAATTTTCATATGAAATCCAAAAAGCCCTAAGTTACAAAAAAATCAAAATCGACTTTTTGATTGATTATGACGCACCGTATCAAAATACATGTTCCTGCTAAATTTTACACTCCTACAATTAAAATCAGCGTCCCTATCAAAGAAATTCTAAAAGGTTATGTTCTAAAATTACCTTAAAATTCATGAAAATTTTAAATTTTTAACTTCGAAACTGTGAAATGTTATAAATTGGCATCAAATAAAACAAAAATGGCACTTTTAGCGAATCCTTGTAATATAGAGATTATTTTAACAGTTTTAGAATTTTTTCAAAGAAAAATTCCAATTTCGAAAATGTTTCCATTTCCATGTTTCGGCCTATTTGACCAACAAACCCAGATTTGAATTTAGTTGAAATACTTTATGAATTCACTTCAAAAACATAATTTTTGATTTAATTATCTACAGGACATTCTGCAAGGAATCTTTCTTATAGATTTTTGACTACAAATACTTTTTGAATTTTTATGTGTCATTCGAATACATTTTTTAAAATATAGAAGTTTATTAGAGTAGGGCGACAGTGTTATAATTTAAAAGGCTTTTCGAAGTATATCAGGAAATGTAAAAATAACGAAAATTGATGATGCAGCTAATACAGCATAAAGTAATATATTAATTTGGCGGCAATCAAGATAAAGTTTTTATTTTATGCATACAGAAATTATATTGTGATGTATTGCGGACATCGAACCATATTTTACCAAACCCAATATAAGGTCCTTTTCAGAAAATCACTAACGATCATAATTGACTTAACAGTAGCAATATTTCAACGAAATTCAAAATAAATAACTTTTATAAGAACCAATATCTATCTTCCAAATTTGATTTTAACGCTCATAACAGCCTTAATAATAGCTGTATTATGACGACATTCAACACAAACAAGAAAAAAAATCTCTTTACCAAATTTGGTGACTATCGACTCATAATTGATCCTACCACCATATAAGATCACCACTAGAAAATTACCCTATCGCTCTTAAGTGACTTAATAATAGCAGTAAGCGACGAAATTTGACACAAACAAGTTTTATAAGAACAAAATTTCTCGACCAAATTTTAAGAGGAACATAATTGACCAATCTCCTTTTATAAGGTCTACTTCGGAAAATGACTCTAACGCTCATAACTGATTTAATAATACATATTAGTATAGCGACGCAATTCGACACAAACAAGTATTATAGGAAGAAAAATCTCTCTCCAAAATTTTTTAATGATCAGTTCATTGTTGACCATACCCGCATATAAATTCTTCTTCAGAAAATTACTTTAACGCTCATAACAGTCTTAATAATACCAGCATAGTTGTGAAATTCGTCATAAACAAATTTATAGAAACAAAAATATCTGTACCAAATTTAATAAGATGGGTTCCGAATTGATACTACCAACCAACACCCAATATTGAAGTTTTCAAAGAGACCAAGTTTTTAGTATTTAACTGTATCCAAACTCTCCACATTATTAATTAATTAATTAATTACGATACTTTCAATTTCCAAAAAATATGTTTTAATTCGAAAAACATGAAAATTTCGAAATATACGATTATGATTTACATCTTATCTAATTGCACTTCGTAGGAGCGCTCATGATGCCCCATTCGTTTATAGTGAACTTTTCAATTAAAAATTTAAAGAATTAAACATTTTCTTAAAATACTAACTTATACATGGAACAAATTCAGTGGGAGAGATAGGTTTGTATGGCTTTCGAAAGTTTCACAAACGACTCTAAACATTCATTTGTTAGTTGGCTTTTTACCTAACTCTATCAACTGGCTGTTAATCTTTGACTATTTTCCATAACCAAAGCTTTACTTTTTAAATTCATTAACTGCATTTCTAGAGATCCAGTACCAATTCAAAATGGCACAATGGTAAATAAAAGCAAGGAAAACTACTTGTTTTGTTTTCGTTCTTTCTCGCCCAAAAAGAATTTTCTTGATTTTGCTTACGTACAAAACGATTAAACAAAGATGAAAAGTTGTGTATATTGTAGAAACGTTTGCGAATTGTTTTGTTAGTTTTAACAAACACTGCTCGTTAATCGATTCAGAAAGATTTTAAAATATATAAATATTTGTTTATAAAATAAGAAAGTATTTATGAAACTAAAGAGCCACAGCTCCACATCCAAAGAGCCGCATTTGGCTCGCGAGCCGTAGTTTGCCGACCCCTGGTCTAGTCTATAGTCTAGTCTATAGTCTAGTCTATAGTCTAGTCTATAGTCTAGTCTATAGTCTAGTCTATAGTCTAGTCTATAGTCTAGTCTATAGTCTAGTCTATAGTCTAGTCTATAGTCTAGTCTATAGTCTAGTCTATAGTCTAGTCTATAGTCTAGTCTATAGTCTAGTCTATAGTCTAGTCTATAGTCTAGTCTATAGTCTAGTCTATAGTCTAGTCTATAGTCTAGTCTATAGTCTAGTCTATAGTCTAGTCTATAGTCTAGTCTATAGTCTAGTCTATAGTCTAGTCTATAGTCTAGTCTATAGTCTAGTCAATAGTCTAGTCTATAGTCTAGTCTATAGTCTACTCTATAGTCTAGTCTATAGTCTAGTCTATAGTCTAGTCTATAGTCTAGTCTAGTCTAGTCTATAGTCTAGTCTATAGTCTAGTCTATAGTCTAGTCTATAGTCTAGTCTATAGTCTAGTCTATAGTCTAGTCTATAGTCTAGTCTATAGTCTAGTCTATAGTCTAGTCTATAGTCTAGTCTATAGTCTAGTCTATAGTCTAGTCTATAGTCTAGTCTATAGTCTAGTCTATAGTCTAGTCTATAGTCTAGTCTATAGTCTAGTCTATAGTCTAGTCTATAGTCTAGTCTATAGTCTAGTCTATAGTCTAGTCTATAGTCTAGTCTATAGTCTAGTCTATAGTCTAGTCTATAGTCTAGTCTATAGTCTAGTCTATAGTCTAGTCTATAGTCTAGTCTATAGTCTAGTCTATAGTCTAGTCTAGTCTATAGTCTAGTCTAGTCTATAGTCTAGTCTAGTCTATAGTCTAGTCTATAGTCTAGTCTAGTCTATAGTCTAGTCTATAGTCTAGTCTAGTCTATAGTCTAGTCTATAGTCTAGTCTATAGTCTAGTCTATAGTCTAGTCTATAGTCTAGTCTATAGTCTAGTCTATAGTCTAGTCTATAGTCTAGTCTATAGTCTAGTCTATAGTCTAGTCTATAGTCTAGTCTATAGTCTAGTCTATAGGTCTAGTCTATAGTCTAGTCTATAGTCTAGTCTATAGTCTAGTCTAGTCTAGTCTATAGTCTAGTCTAAGTCTAGTCTAAGTAGTCTATAGTCTAGTCTATAGTCTAGTCTATAGTCTAGTCCTATAGTCTAGTCTATAGTCTAGTCTATAGTCTAGTTCTAGTAGTCTAGTCTATAGTCTAGTCTATAGTCTAGTCTATAGTCTAGTCTATAGTCTAGTCTATAGTCTAGTCTATAGTCTAGTCTATAGTCTAGTCTATAGTCTAGTCTATAGTCTAGTCTATAGTCTAGTCTATAGTCTAGTCTATAGTCTAGTCTATAGTCTAAGTCTATAGTCTAGTCTATAGTCTAGTCTATAGTCTAGTCTATAGTCTAGTCTATAGTCTAGTCTATAGTCTAGTCTATAGTCTAGTCTATAGTCTAGTCTATAGTCTAGTCTATAGTCTAGTCTATAGTCTAGTCTATAGTCTAGTCTATAGTCTAGTCTATAGTCTAGTCTATAGTCTAGTCTATAGTCTAGTCTAGTCTAGTCTAGTCTATAGTCTAGTCTATAGTCTATAGTCTAGTCTATAGTCTAGTCTATAGTCTAGTCTATAGTCTAGTCTATAGTCTAGTCTATAGTCTAGTCTATAGTCTAGTCTATAGTCTAGTCTATAGTCTAGTCTATAGTCTAGTCTATAGTCTAGTCTATAGTCTAGTCTATAGTCTAGTCTATAGTCTAGTCTATAGTCTAGTCTATAGTCTAGTCTATAGTCTAGTCTATAGTCTAGTCTATAGTCTAGTCTATAGTCTAGTCTATAGTCTAGTCTATAGTCTAGTCTATAGTCTAGTCTATAGTCTAGTCTATAGTCTAGTCTATAGTCTAGTCTATAGTCTAGTCTATAGTCTAGTCTATAGTCTAGTCTATAGTCTAGTCTATATTCAAAATCAGCAACATATGTACGTATATGTGAGCTTTTTCAAAAAAAATTTCAGACGCTAGCTTTTGTAACGAAAGTCATGATAACGAACTGGTGTAGAATGTCATAGGGTCTAGCACGCCTCATTCCAGTTCCTTACTATTTTTGATTAAATTAATATATGGTCACAGACAAGCCTTTAATAAATTTGAACAAACTTTTACACTACACACAGACGATGATTCCCATGAAGGTAATTAAACGTTTTACTAAAGTTTTATGTGTCATAAACTATTTTACTACGTCACGTATGTCGTTCTAACCCACATCAAACCTTTAAGTGTTAAGGACGTAAAGGTAAAAACTACATAATGAAATAGTTTTTTAAATTAATTTAAAATATCTTGTAAAATGTTTCCTTCAACTTACCCACGATATTCAAATAAACCGAATGACCAATTGGCGGTGTTGTTGATATCTGACATTCGTAAATACCCGAATCTTTACGCTGGGCATAACGTATACGCAGTGTCCAATCTTCAGCATGTGGTGAATGCATTGCCTCGAATCTTTGATCTGAGGTGTAAGTATAACGGCCCACTGTTAACAAGTGTATATCACGATGACGCACCCAAGAGACCTGAAAAAATGCATAAAAATAAGAAACATGAAAAATATAAACAAAACTAAAAATATTTATTTGTATACTAGTATAACTAATGTACAACTAAAAGTTAATTTATATATACGACAATTGGCCTAATCACACAGATGCTTAAACTTTACAAACTGTTTTATTTAAATGTTGGTTTTGTTGTTAGTTTTTTTTTTAATAAATTTTTTCCTATTAAAATAACACACAGTGGTACATACATTTGGCTTTATGCCAAATTGTTTAACAGGAATACAAGTTTTTCTTTAATAACATGTACACGACCTAAACTCTCTCTCTCTCTCTTCCTTCCTTTCTAGTGCTTTCTAACAACCATCATCATAAACCAACAACCAACCAATTTTAAATTTATATGTATTTTATATAGAAATATTAGAAGTACAACTATGTTTTGTGTTAAAATACAACAAATAAAAATAAAAAAGTGCATTTGAAAATTGTTTTAAATAGTTTATTGAAAAACGTTTTTGTAAAGTTTTTTTCCCATGATTTTTTTACATTTTACTATGACAGATTTGACAGACTTTTGTATGAACAGTATGTGCTTCGTGGTTATATTGGCTTTAAAGTTTTGACATTTTTGTTGTGACCACACAGGTTAATTTCGAGATTTATGAAACACCTAGCTAAGAAAACAAGTATGCATTTACTTTATGATATAGACCAGACTAAACTATAGATTAGGCTATAGAATAGACTATATATTAAACCATAAACTAGACTATGGATTAGATTATGGACTAGACTATAGACTACGCTATAGAATGCGCTATAGACTACGCTATTGACTATACTATAGACTAGACTATAGACTAGACTATATACTAGACTATATACTAGACTAAAGACTAGACTATAGACTAGACTATAGACTAGACTAGACTAGACTAGACTAGAAGACTATAGACTAGACTATAGACTAGACTATAGACTAGACTATAGACTAGACTATAGACTAGACTATAGACTAGACTATAGACTAGACTATAGACTAGACTATAGACTAAACTATAGACTAGACTATAGACTAGACTATAGACCAGACTATAGACTAGACTATAGACTAGACTATAGACCAGACTATAGACTAGACTATAGACTAGACTATAGACTAGACTATAGACTAGACTATAGACTTGACTATAGACCAGACTATAGACTAGACTATAGACTAGACTATAGACTAGACTATAGACTAGACTATAGACTAGACTATAGACTAGACAATAGACTAGACTATAGACTAGACTATAGACTAGACTATAGACTAGACTATAGACTAGACTATATACTAGACTATAGACTAGACTATAGACTAGAATATAGACTAGACTATAGACTAGAATATAGACTAGACTAGACTAGACTATAGACTAGACTATAGACTAGACTAGACTAGACTACTAGATATAGACTAGACTATAGACTAGACTATAGACTGACTATAGACTAGACTATAGACTAGACTATAGACTAGACTATAGACTAGACTATCGACTAGACTATAGACTTGACTATAGACTAGACTATAGACTAGACTATAGACTAGACTATAGACTAGACTATAGACTAGACTATAGACTAGACTATAGACTAGACATAGACTAGACTATAGACAGACCTATAGACTAGACTATAGACTAGACTATAGACTAGACTATAGACTAGACTATAGACTAGACTATAGACTAGACTATAGACTAGACTATAGACTAGACTATAGACTAGACTATAGACTAGACTATAGACTAGACTATAGACTAGACTATAGACTAGACTATAGACTAGCCTATAGACTAGACTATAGACTAGACTATAGACTAGACTATAGACTAGACTATAGACTAGACTATATACTAGACTATAGACTAGACTATAGACTAGACTATAGACTAGACTATAGACTAGACTATAGACTAGACTATAGACTAGACTATAGACTAGACTATAGACTAGACTATAGACCTAGACTATAGACTAGACTATAGACTAGACTATAGACTAGACTATAGACTAGACTATAGACTAGACTATAGACTAGACTAAGACTAGACTATAGACTAACTATAGACTAGACTATAGACTAAGACTATAGACTAGACTATAGACTAGACTATAGACTAAACTATAGACTAGACTAGAGACTAGACTATAGACGAGACTATAGACTAGACTATAGACTAGACTATAGACTAGACTATAGACTAGACTATAGACTAGACTATAGACTAGACTATAGACTAGACTATAGACAGACTAGAGACTAGACTATAGACTAGACTATAGACTAGACTATAGACTAACTATAGACTAGACTATAGACTAGACTATAGACTAGACTATAGACTAGACATCGACTGATATAGACTGACTATAGACTAGACTATAGACTAGACTATAGACTAGACTATAGGACTAGACTATAACTAGACTAGACTATAGACTAGACTATAGACTAGACTATAGACTAGACTATAGACTAGACTATAGACTAGACTATAGACTAGACGATAGACTAGACTATAGAGACTAGACTATAGACTAGACTATAGACTAGACTATAGTAGACTATGACTAGACTATGAGACTAGAACTAATAGACTAGACTATAGACTAGACTATAGAACTAGACTATAGACTAGACTATAGACTAGACTATAGACTAGACTAATAGACTAGACTATAGACTAGACTATAGCTAGACTATAGACTAGACTATAGACTAGACTATAGACTAGACTATAGACTAGACTATAGACTAGACATAGACTAGACTTATAGACTAGACTATAGACCAGACTATAGACTAGACTATAGACTAGACTATAGACTAGACTATAGACTGAACTATATAGACTAGACTATAGACTAGACTATAGACTAGACTATAGACTAGACTAGACTATAGACTAGACTATAGACTAGACTATAGACTAGACTATAGACTAGACTATAGACTAGACTATAGACTAGACTATAGACTAGACTATAGACTAGACTAGACTAGACTATAGACTAGACTATAGACTAGACTATAGACTAGACTATAGACTAGACTATAGACTAGACTATAGACTAGACTATAGACTAGACTATAGACTAGACTATAGACTAGACTATAGACTAGACTATAGACTAGACTATAGACTAGACTATAGACTAGACTATAGACTAGACTATAGACTAGACTATAGACTAGACTATAGACTAGACTATAGACTAGACTATAGACTAGACTATAGACTAGACTATAGACTAGACTATAGAATAGACTATAGACTAGACTATAGACTTGAATATAGGCTAGACGATGGACTAGACTATAGACTAGACTATAGACTAGACTATAGAATAGACTATAGACTAGACTATAGAATAGACTATAGAGTATACTAGGCTGTAGAGTAGTATTCTAATATAGCTGATCCTACGATTATCATCTTTTCTCTAATAAAAAACCTAAAGCCATATTAACGGCAGTTTTTCTCTAATGACAAAAACAATTTGAAGTTTTATAAGAGCGGAAAATACAAACAGAAAACCAATACTTTTTCAAAGTCAGCAAATTAAAGATCTTTAAAGGGGAAATAAAAAAGTTCTCCATAAAATACTCTCCGATTACAATATGCATTCAAGGATATTAACAGAAGGATATTAGTTTTAACTAAAACTTTATGTTTTTGTGAATGTTTTCCTGTTGGTTTTATGTTTTTTTTTTTTTTTTTTTTTTGCTTTATGGTCTTATACTTAAAATTAATTTTTATAAAAGGCGTTACAAAACTGAGCAAAGAGTATCACACAGAAAAAAATGTGTAAAATGAGAAGTTACATTTTTCACTGTATAATTTGTAAATACTTCATACAAACGTGCAAGATTTAATGTGAGCAAAATTAATGGATCTTATAGATTTTTAAAGTTTCAAACTACGTATTTGATTGAAAAAATTTTAATAATTTTATGAACATAATTAATGGGATATTTATCATGAAATCAAACATTTTGAGGGGTCATAGAGATTTCATGCTTATAGGCTTATTACATATCCCAGATCTTAAGCTAGATTTAAAAAAAGTAACATTTTTGAAATCTACACCCTGTTCCTACTTAAGTTACATAATCTGATGAAAAAACTTTGTATATAAAATTGTTAAAATACAAATGCATGAGATGTATGTTGATAAGTCTTGTAATTCTTACTCCCTCCCTTTACTGGCAAAAGGCGTGAGTGACACATTTCTTTTTTGTCTCCTCAACTTTGTTTTTTCAAGGCTTTAAAAAGTTCAACTAACTTTTTGTCATAATAAATGAAGAAACATTTTTTTTATTATTCGTACTCCACCTACACCTCCACTGCAGCCATACAATTCTAAACACACAGCCCTGGCAGCAATATGGATAAAAATTCTTTGGCAAATCCTTTGGTGACTTTGAATAAATAATGTTTAAGTTTAATGATTAAGTTTTATTTGCTTTGCAGCAGTAACAGCATCAGCATTTGAAAAGTTTATTTTTACAAGAAATGCGCTTTTCTTTACAATATCTTAAATTTTTTGCAAATTCTAAGCTAAAGAAATTCATCAATGTATTCAGTATTTAATTTATGTGTTAAAGTAAAAAAACTTTCAGTTTTTAAATTTTTTTTCAAATTCTTTTCAATAATTTAATGCAAATTCCAATAATGTACTTCTTTTTTATTTGCAAACTTTTTATTTTAAGAATTTTATTTCATGTTCGAGAAAAAGTAGAGTATTTAGGAACAATTTACATATATTGATTAAGTAATTTTTATCTTAAGAATGGTATTAACTTTTTTGCTTTGTAATTCTTTTGGTGACTTGTGTTTCCTCAGATACATCGCCATCTCCTAATGGAGCAATAAGTATTTAAGTAGCAAATCAAGGGAGATGGAGAACAAATAAAGTTTGATTTTGCCAAAGTTTAGATAAAGCACTTGTATTTG